AGATATTAATGACTGCTTATGAACAATATTTTAGATTTTAAAACATTTTAATGAAAAAAGGATTTGAAACTAATATATATATATATATAAAAAAACTGTTCAGAAGAAGCTTTAGAAATCTTTTGTTTGATTTTTATTTTAATTACACAGGTGTGATATCTAAAATGTCATAATATAGAATGGTTAAGAAGTAGGTCCTGAGATTTATCCTAGTTTTTTAAATTAAGTAAAAGTTGTTTTTGGACAAAAACAGATGTGTTTTTCTCCCCATCTGGAGTGGCAAAAATTACTTAGAAGACACACAAACCTAAAAATAAGAAAGAAAATTATTTAGAGCTTCCTAAAAAGTTGAACTTTGATTACCACAAAACAAACACAGCCAGCACAGTTCATTCCTTAAGTTGCATTCAGACCAAGCGTGGTTTCTGCGGTGAATTCTGCAAGGACCGCTGGGATTTCACAATAAAAGCACAGGTAAAACTTAACTTCACTGACTTCTGCTAAATTGTTCTCTATAAAATAATTTTCATTGGCCAGGGGATGCAATTAATGTTTTTGGAAAAGTCCTTAAAAGACTTTTAAAAAAGTCCACTTTGGTTCATCCAGAGCTGCGTCTGGATGACGGTCGGATTTGGAGGTACTTCCTTGTAAATCTACCTATGCAGAGACCATTGCTGGGCAGTGGTCAGCAACAGACTAAGCTGGAGGTAAGGGAAGATGGCAAACAGTCCTTCTATGGCTGAATTAAAACAGCTTTTTTAAAGCCACCTAAAAACCTCTTCAACCTCATTTCTTATTTCATCCTTTGTTAACATAATTTTCTCTATATTCTATAAATTTTTTGAAAAGAACAGCCTTGCCTGCACCTCTTTAACCTACGTCAAAACTAAAACCAGTCCCTGATTGGTAAAATACCAATCGCCCAGAGTCTACAGCCTTTAGCTAACAGCATGTGCAGCTGTTAGCCTCTTCAAAGCAATGAAAGGCTCTCAGTTCAAGTGCAGGAAACTGCTGTAAATCAGTCTAAATAATCTATTTCCCCATTAAAAATTAGTCAGTCTGCATGAGCAAAGCTACCACTGAATCCACTCTATATGCCACCCTATATGGATGTATAAATTACTACGATGTAGTCATAATATTTAACATACCATTGTTTCCTGAAATGGTTTAATTGATATAGATTTCTCCCTGCAATTGATTCCTGCAGCCTCTGTCATTTATTTACACACTATAACTGCCTCTGCTATCTTTTGGTTACAATTGATAAAATAACATTTAAATATTCTTTTTGGAATCAAGTAAAATATTAAGTTTAGAGCTTATATTACAGCTTTATATATATCTATATAAACTCTGTTGTGCTGGTGACATCATCAACACTAAACCAGAATGATGGTTGTCACCAGACCACAGCGGCGGGAGGAAAGAAGCCATGCAGCGGGCCAGCTAGGAGTTAGACCCGGCTTTTTTGCCAGGGGGAAGGGAGCCAGATGCCGATTCTTAGCGGGTCGACCCATGACTGAAAATCATGCATTAACCTGGTATCTTTAAGGGGAAAGAGGCTACAGTATACATGTGAAGCTATGCACATATTTATACATTTGTGCCATTTATATTAATTTACGGTTCTACATAATATATAGATTAAATGGGTGGAGCAATGCTCTTTATCTTTAATTACATAGAAGTCTTCTAGGTGACTGCAGAGACAAACTCTCCCCTAGAGAACATTCTGGTTAGTCCTCTCTAGTATAGTCTATATTGGTGTGAATTGTTTTTTTGCTGCATTTTCTAGTAAATTTTTGGTTAATATACCAGCGATAAATGTCAAAGTAGGAATTCTACATGATGGTATAACTGCTGCCTCCATCAGACTTAGAGAAGTACTGCTGGTTCCAGGGCTATTGGATTACATCTCAGGAGCAACAACATATCGCCTGGTAGGGGTGCCCAATTATTGGCTAGAAGTTGCCATGGCACCCCTGGCCACCCCTTTAGATCCGCCCCTGCATCCATAGTGGGATCAGACACAAGGCCTTTCCAAACTGAGCTCCTGTGTTTGAAATGGAAAATATGGCAATGCCTCTTTGGAAAAATGCATGAGGAAAAGCTTAAAAACTATCAATGCGTGAAAACAGGTGACTGATGAAACTGATCAGGAATGATGTCAAGAGCTGCAGACTCATCCATACTTATTTTTTCCCTATTTAAAAAAAAGAGGGGGGAAAAATGACATTCACAAACCTACCAAAACTTTGCTGGATTTTATGTCATCATCTGATAAAACAACGTTTTAACTTTTGGTCACATAAGAATAAAGTAAGGCATAATTATCAATCCTATTTTTAAAACTCAACTAGTAAAATTATTTCTTTTTGCTTTGGAACTGGATTCATATTAGATGAACTGGGTTTTATGGGGGGTAGCAGACCTGGATACTGTATACTGGGATTTAAACACAACTCTGTCATTTTTGATTAATTCATTCAGGGCCAGTGACGTGCGGTGAGGTTCATAGCTGGTGAGGCACTGACGTCATCAGAATCAGATTTGCAAATAGATGCATAGATTGACAGCAGTTTACAGGTTATGTTTCACTTCTGCATCCTTACACATACAAACTGTAGCTCACAAAACACACATTTCCTTAAAAAACAAAACAAAATAAATGTTATTACTGTCTTACCTTTACTTATAAATGAATAGAAGTCCTCCTTATCTTCCTTCAGTTTTAAAAGTCTCTCTGTCTCAATGGAGATCACTGCCAGGGAAGAAAGCCTTCCTTGATCCGTCCTGTTCCTGCCTTATGTTTTCAGTCTCTTGAGCACCCCCTGCCATGAGGCAAGAGAACTGCCTGCCTCACCTCGAACTTGTTCTCTGCCGTTTATAATCGCTCATTACACGAAACACGTTACACAAACACAGTTGGTGACAAAAAGCTCTGTACATTATATACATAAGCCAAATTATTAGAAATAAGTTCACATATTACATTTGTTTAAACCATTTTATTGACGCCGTACAGCAACATGCTCTCTCCGCTTTGCAGCCAGCGCAGAGCCAGGGGTTGCGCAATCCAAGGTGAGGCAGAGCTCGCTGCTGCCTCACCGGCATCGCTTCCAAGCATTTGAATGGGAAAATAAGAAAATTCAGCGATTTTGAACAAATAAAAATCGAAATTGGTGAAGCTACATGAAAAATGAATATTTTTTAGTACAAACCACCGGATGAATATAACAATTTAAATTACTTTATGATTATATATTTTCTTTCTTTCCATGATGGCTGGTGAGGCACTGCCTCACCTGCCTCCCCTGACCGCACGTCACTGTTCAGGGCTGAGTTGCTCCAATGTGCGTCACTTACTTAGATCTTGATGAAGGGGGGACACCCCACTGCGCCCTCCAGGTTCATCTGCTTCAACCTTAATCATTTCAGACATTCTTAGTCCACTTGGGATTCTCGTTTTCACCGCCCTTGTTTAAAATACTACTTGCCTTATAACGCTAAACCTTAAAAGCATCGGCGACCAAAACACTGATCAGGTTTTTCTACTCTTAGCTGCGTTGGCTTCACACTGCTTTACACAGCCGATAAAAAATAATAATAATAATCCCAACAGTTCCATATAAAAAAAAACGCGACATTACGCTGAAAACTTTTAATTAGGGAGTCTGTCATCAATTACAATTTTTTTAATGGAAAGTTTGACGCTCATTTCTGTCGGGCTTAGCTAGCTAAGCTGACTTCTCGCAGCTGATCTTCTTCGTCTTGCATTTCCGGCAGGGTAGACGCCTCCTGGCGTATTGCTGCCCCCCACAGGTTGCTTGCAGTACTAACGCTACTGAAGTACTCGAATCCTCTGATTTCTTCTTCTTATTGAATTTTTTTTTGGCGGTTGGCAAAAACATAAGGTGAGCATTACTGCTACCAATTGGTAAGGAGTGTGGACCACATGGCAAAAAAACAAAAACAAAAAAAAAAAACTATATCCTGTTATACAATTTAATGTTTCAAAACCTCAAATATAACCTGATATCCTCTGCTTCCTGATTCCTTTTGTAGTAAATCAACAATGTCAAGTTTCAATTTCATATTACTAAGTTTCCTAATTAACTTGTTTCTCTAAATCAAATATTTCCTACAACTAAAAAAAAAACATGTTCCACTGTCTCATCTTCCCTACAGTCACATTTCCCTGTCTGATGTTTCCCTGTTAAAAAATAATGACCTATTCAATCCTGTGTATCCTATTCTAAGTCATGAAATAATTATCTCTTCTCTTCTGTTCCTTTCTGTTCTTCTCATTTTATCCGATTCTCTTTTGGATTTTATAGAACCACCTTCCTTTCTTTACTTCTTCCTATAACTTTTGCCACCTCTCTTTTGTTTTTTGTTTAATTATACCCTTTATTTCTGTTATACTAAAACAAACATTAATATCTATCCTTACCTTATTTGTACTCTCATTAGCCTGTGTGGAGATTTGTGCACACATTATGAACAATATAACAGCAGCTATTTGGAATAAGAGTCTGTAAATATTTTTTTTTTTTCAGTGCTGAACTCGGATATTCAGCACTAAGAAGTTTTAATTTGAGTACATAGAATAAACAATTTGGAAGATATTGGACATCCTTGTCTAATTCCTGGCTTAATTTCAATGCTTTATAATGATTTATAATGTAACAGTAGGTGCTGTTGTAAAGCATTTTAACTTAACTTTCACTAGCAGAGATAAGATGGTAAATTCTTTTTTTTAAATGCATTCTATGGTCCATGTCCATAGCCAATAGAAAATGTATGGCTGTGCATTACCTTCCATAAAAACAAGGCTTTTATAGTGAAAAACATGGGTTTATGGTTGCAAGCCATTAAAATGTACCGGTAGTAGTAAATGGACAAAGAAAATCTTTATCATTTTTTATTTCAAGTCTTTGCAGTGTTCAATTTAGATCTTATTAAAAGCAAAGGCCATTTCAGTTATATACCTACTAGTTTGTATTAGAATCGACTTTATTGGCCATGGTTGGTGCACAAACAATCAAAAGGAGCTGGTTTTTCATCATTTACATCAGATAACATCCCTGAAATACCTTTTAAAAAAAACCTAAGAGGTTAAAATAAGAATAAGCAGCATGTACAGTTTAGATTACTACAAAAACAATAGAAAGTGGAGCCTGGGAACTGACAAGAGAAAAAAGAAGACAGCATGTGCATGAAATACTAATTTGCTACCCTGAAATACTTATTTATATGCACAAGAAACATATTTTCAACCAGGAAATATAAAAGACATGCGCACTAACAACTAATTATTTGTGGCCACAACATTAGATATAAGGTGGGCAGAGCTTACTGAAACAATCGTCCTAGACTCAGCAGGTTCTCAAATATTTTATGCTGTGGATGAACTACAGTGATTTGGAAAATTCTTACAAGAGATTATTTTCTCGTTGTATTACTTTTTCTTTATTACTTACGTTACTTCCTAACACGTGCCAAAGCTGACTGTGAAGTTTTTCTGTGCCAGTAAATGGATTGCATTTGTGGACTGGACACGTGTGTATGGACTACATACTGCTGCTTCTTTAACCAACAAGTGATAGGCTTAAGAGCCGAAGCCTATTAAATAGAGCCTCAATCAAACACTCATCAGGTGTTTGTAGAAAAACATTTGGTCAGTGCTGAGCTCTGCAAGGGATGAACAAAGTGAGGGAAATGAAAGGCTACAGACTGTAAAGGACACTTTTTAAAAGAAGGAATTATAGAATGGTGGGTTAAACTGGAACACCGTTTTTTCAAAAACGTAAAAAATTCTCAGAAGGTGATTAAAAGTACACACTTTAATTGTACGACAAAAGTGGGTGCATGAACCTGGCAGCTATCCAAGGCCAAGGTGAAGCAACAGCCAATTTACCCTCCCCAATACCCTGCAGTGCTTCACGTTATACCTACATTTTGGCTACAAATAAATACTCCATGGGCAGAAATAAGTACTTTTTTGCACATAAATATATACATGTTTATTTTTTCTCTTCCAACTCCATATCAGTTCAAAGGCGTCGAAGAATATAGCTTCATGTTAGCACAGCTAGCATATAGGCAATCAAGTCTGCTGGCTTATACACATGGTTACAGGCTGTGAGCATCTACTTATATGAGCAAGGTAGATAATAATCATGAATGCAGTCATTAAGTATGTATGCTGAATGAGGTTCTTTTAGAAACAGTAGCAACAACTGAGCTACAATACATAAAAGTTTGGCCTGCTGATAAGGGCACATGTCCTAAAAAAGGGCACACTAAAAAGCATGAAATACATAATAAAAATTTAAAAATATGGGTACAAATAATTTAGTTTATGGGAATTGTTCTTTGAAAGAGTCAAGATTTTATATTAGTCTTTTTCCCACCTCATTAGAAATGCACATAACAGCACATTTATTGTTGTAATATATAATAATACATGTTAGTAAATCAGTAGTTATTTTTCAGCTTTACTTGGGCCTATGCTTTTGCTGTCAGGACCGAAGAATAATCCACTTACTCTCATAGTTTTCATTACATACAGCTGTTATGTGTACTCATGTGTCTCTTTAGATTCCCTTGTTGTGAAAAAGCTTTGCTGCAAACATTACAAACAAAAGGTTTTTCACAAGTGTGAACACGCATGTGTCTCTTCAGGCGATCTTGTTGGGAAAATGCTTTAGCGCAAACGCTGCAAACAAATGGTTTCTCACCCGAATGGACTCTCATGTGGTTGTCAAGATGGCATTTCTGAATAAATCTGGTTTTACAAACATCGCACCCAAACGGCCTCTCTTCTGTGTGGACTCTTACGTGTCGCTCTAACTGGATTTCCTTCACGAAATGTTTACCACAGTCGCTACAGCTGAACGGCGCAGTGTGAACATCCATGTGTTTTTTTAGATGATGTTGTTGCGAAAACCCTTTATTGCAAAAGCTACAAATAAATGGTTTCTCTCCCGTGTGAACGCACATGTGCCTCTTTAAAGTATCCTGCTGTGAAAACCCTTTACTACACACACTACAGATAAATAGTTTCACTGGGGTGTGAACATGCATGTGTCTCTTCAGGTTTTCTTGTAGTGAAAATCCTTTACTGCAAACGCTGCAGATGTACGGTTTTTCTCCTGTGTGAACTCGCATATGTCTCTTCAGAACCCCATGTTGATAAAATCCTTTACTACAAAGACTGCAGATGAATGGCTTCTCCCCTGTGTGAACATGCATGTGACTCTTCAGGTTCTGTTGCAGTGAAAAACCTTTACTACAAAAACTACAAACAAACATTTTCTCCCCGGTGTGAACACGGATGTGTCTCTTTAGATTCTCTTGTAATGCAAACCCCTTGCTGCAAAAGCTGCAAATAAATGGTTTCTCCCCCGTGTGAACACGCATGTGACACTTCAGATGAATCTGTTGTGAAAATCCCTTACTACAAACACTACAGACAAATGGCTTTTCTGCAGTGTGAATCCTTGTGTGGTTTTTAAGCGTCTCCTTCCTTTTGAATTTTGTTCCACAGACATCACAAGAAAAAGGTTTTTCTTCTGAATGGACCTTCAGGTGCTGCTGAAACAATTTCTTTGCATGAAACTTTCTACCACAATCTTCACAGGCAAAAGTTTTATCACCACTGCGGACTCTCTTGTGGATCTGGGGAGAAGGCTTTTCTCTATAAACTTTAGAACAAACATCTGATTTATGCTCTCTCTTTCCGCTGTGAATCATCATGTGCAATTTAACATGAGTCTTGTGTCTGAGTCTTTTACCACAAACATTACAACCTAATGGCTTCTCTACCACATTAACTTCGACCTTAGTTGTAAGTTTGGATCGCAGTTTTGATATTTTACTCTTCCTATTATCCGTCATCTTACTTTCCAGAGAGGAACATACTGGATCAGGGTTCCTGTCTAGTTCGGATCCTCCACATTCCCTTCCATCAGGGTCTGTTTTTATCTGCACTCCAATCGTGCTGGTTTGAGCTTCTGACTCTATGTTGTCTTCAGTTTTGATGTGATAAAGCTCTGATAACCGAGGTTTCTCCTCGTCTTCAGTCTTCATATTGAAGTGCTCTCCTTCAAGTTTGATGCAGAGTTCCTCCTTCTGCAGCGGGGCGTCTGGATCCAAAATTGAATTGCAGTCAAGTAAAACCTCTTCTTTGATCGCCAACATCTGATGGACTGAGAAAAGCATAACACAAATGTTTAAAATATTGCTTAACATATCCAAAAAGGCCAGAATTTATTTTCTTAAACTCAAGGTAAAGGTCGTTTTAATATTGTATGAATATTTATTTTTCCTAGTCCTTGTCCACACGAAGAAGGATGTAGTTTAGGGAATGCAGTCATGGCTCTTTTAACCCTGGTCTCTTAACCCATGTGAGGAGGAGATGTGAGGAGGCAGGGAAACACCTAAAACGTGCAGGACAGTGGGACCTGAAGACCAGGATTGAGAAACCCTGGTCTATTCGACAACTGAGGCCTCTGTACAGTACACGGGTTGCATGCTCTACTCCTGCAAGATGACCTTCTCCAACGAAGACACTCCAGTTCCTAAAAGGTGCCAGTTATTAATCGCAATCTTACTTACGATTTACAAATTTTTGCTTATATTCGCAAAAAAATCAATGAGTTCGTGATAAACAACCCAAACCTACTACATTCTTAATTGATTGAACGCATAACATGCTTTTAAGAAAGGATATGACCAACCACTACAAGTATAAAAAGTAATGTGGGAAAATGTTATTTCCGTTCAAAATTAAAAACGGATTCCTCAGTCTCTAAAATATAATATAAAATATAATAAAAAATAAAATCATAAAAAAAAAATAATAAAATTGGATTTTCCTAATTTAAAACACATAAAAATAATAAATAATGATAAATATCAACTAGGGATGTAAAGAAATAATCAACTTACAATTAATTGTTAACTTACTAAATTTAAAATTTCTCTATCCGAATAATTTATCAAGTCCAATGTCTCTTAGTGTTGTAATGTTACCGCCATCCACTAGAGGGTGCCACTTTTCATTCTAAAGTTTCGCCTCACTGGCATTTGCAGGGAAGTAATGCCAGAGCCGAGGAAAGCTAGAGCAGAAAAATGCCTTGTTCGGTTTTGTTTGTAAATGCACTGCTCAAAATAATAAATAAAGGGAACACCTAAACCACACAATATAACTTTAATAAATCAAACTTCTGTGAAATCAAACTATCAAGTTAGGAAGCAACACTGACTGACAATCAATTTCACGTGCATGTGCAAATGGAAGAGAAAACAGGTGGAAATTATTGTCATTTATCAAGATTCATGCAATAAAGGAGTGGTTCTGCAGGTGGGGACCACAGACCACTTCTCAGTACCTATGCTTTCTGGCTAATGATTTGGGAACTTTTGAATGCCAGTGGTGTTGTAACACTGGTAGCGTTAGACGGACTCTACAAACCCTACGTGGCTCATGTAGTGCCGCTCATCCAGGATGGCACATCAATGTGAGCTGTGGCACAAAGGTTTGCTGTGTCTCTCAGCGTAGTGTCCAGAGGCTTGAGGCACTGACAGGACACAGGCCAGTACACAAGGACACAATGGGGAGACTGTAGGAGAGCAACAACCAAGCAGCAGGAAGCCTGCCTTCTGTTCACCCTTTATACAAGGAGGAACAGGAGCAGCACTGCCTGAGCCCTTTATAATGACCTCCAGCAGGCCACAAATGTGCACATGTCTGCAGCCCAACACTGTGCAGGATGTTTGGCATTCGCCAGAGAACACCAGGATTGGCAAATTCATTACTGGCACACGTGACAAACGTGACAGAGTCTGGAGATGCTGCCTGCAACACCCTTCAGCATGACCTGTTTGGAAGTGGGTCAGTATAATGTCTTTTAGGGCCGCATAACCCTCCATGTTCTCACCAGAGGCAGCATGACTGCCATTAAGTACCGAGATGAGATCCTCAGACTCATTGTGAGGCCAAATGCTGGTGCGGTTGGCCCTGGGTTCCTCCTAATGCAGGACAATGCTAGACCTCATGTGGCTGGAGTGGAAGAAAAAGGCATTAAAGCTTTGGATTGGGCCACATGTTCCCCAGACCTAAATCCAATTGAGCACATCTGGGAGATCATGTCTCGATCCAACAATTAACTGCTTTGGTCCAGGTTTGGAAGACCATCCACCACCGCATCAGAAACATAACCAGGCATCATAGGGAGGTCATACAGGCATGTGCAGGCCACACACAATACTGAGCCTAATTTTGACCTATTTCAAAGACATTACATCCAAGTTGGATCAGCCTGTAGCATGTTTTCTACTTTAACATTGTGTGTAGCTTCAAATCCAGGCCTTCATTGGTTAATAAATTTCATTTTCATTGAGGATTTTTGTGTAATTTCCTGGTCAGCACATTCAACTTTGTAGAGAAAAAAATATTCAATAAGAATATTTAATTCATTAAGATCTAGGACGTGTTATTTTAATGTTCCCTTTATTTTTTTAAAGCAGTGTATAAAGACTCAATAAATTCCTTACTTATCACTGAAATAGTGCCCTTTTAGCCGTAATACGCTGTGTTCAGAATGAGGCCAAATTTAGCTAAAAACAGATCTATATTCCAGTTACCGTCCACCTCACTAAAAAGAAGAGGCAAACAGACTTGATGATGGTTTTACATCTCTGAACATTGGAAATCATAGGTTTCTTAAATACTTTTATCATATTTTTGACTCTTTAACCTAATAGGGTTGGATGTTCCTAAATATTTTATCACTCTGATTCTTTCAAAAGTCCAGCAGTGCTTTAGCAAATGTGAGTCACTTACTGAGATCTTTGCTATTTTGAGTCTGCTTCAGTTCTGCTGCGGGTGGCGGAGGAAGGGGGGGCGCCACACTGAGTCCATCGGAGTCGTCTGCTTCTACCTTCATCATCTCAGACATACTCACTCCACTTGGAAATCTCTTTTTCACAATCCTTGTTTGCAACCTTCACATGTTTAGAAGAGCAATAGAATGAATTAGAATAGATTAACAACTTTGGACAAATGGAAAATTTATACTTCTAAAATACATTTTCAAAATTAATCATATTTACTCAAAACAGAACATAAATTTAGATAATACATTTGAAACTGGGAAATGGTACCCCTTCAGCCACTAAATAAGATTATGTTAAGTGTGATATACATGGTAAGTAAATGATTGTTTTAGGGCAACGTTTGCTTCCTGTCTATTTGAAAGAAATCCTCAAGTCTGAGCAAAAAAATGCAAAACCACATTCTGCAGCTTTTACAACAGCGTGGCTTTGTTAAGGAAGAATCACGGTGTTAACCTGGTCTGCATGAATTTCACAACTTCAACAGCTGGAGAAAATTTAGCCCAATATTAAAAGTAAAAACCACAAACCCTTTTACTGCTGGATACCGCAGGTATCAAGAATGAGAGTGAATCCCATCAACAAAACACCAAAAATTCCTAAACTTTCTGCCCAGACGCTTTTATGCTGTGGAAATAATTTAACATTTTAACATCAATAAAAAAGGGACCATTATGTCCGACCAACTGATTTTCATTTTTTTTACACAATGTCAAGTGGTTATTGATTTTTTTTCCCCTGCTATAATAAAACATATAATTTGGCCCACATTTTCCCATTTTACTGACTATTATTACGGTAGAAGGAGCATGTTGTGTGCAGAACAGCTTTTACTGTAGCTGGATGCTCTGTAAACATAAAGATAAGGAACAAAGCCTCACCACTTTCAATACAGAGGAAGCAGAAGTAGCTGGGGCTGCCTTATGTTTTGGTAAGTGTGTTAATCGTTTCACTTTATTCACTTAATTTACTAAAGGTGAGGACCCTGAATGTAACATAGACCAAGCTTATCAACAAAAAGTAAGGCAAGGCAGCTGGAATTAGTAAGACACTGGATAAAATGTAACAGAATGATAGAAAACTCCATGTAAGGCTCTGATCTGGTCTGGTGGGTCTCCAGGGACCAAAAAGGGGTCATATAAAGATGCTTTAGAACTGATTGGTGACCTTTATAGTATATTTTCAGACGGTTAGTTATATAAGTACAGTTAATATAAGTTAGTTTCCAGATTTATTGTTTTGGGTAAATACTTCCAGGCTTAGATGTGCTTTTATAATACTCAGTTTGTATATATGAATGTTCCTCGTGAAAAAATAAGAGTCAGCAACAGGAAAACTGAAAGAGACAAGATCTGGATGATCTGAGAATGATGGAGTAAGCAATAACTCCCTTGTTAATGTTCATTTAATAGTTTTTTATTTCCCTTGTACCTCCAAATATTATGTTAATTGGCATATTTAGTATTTAATCAGTTGAAATAACAATAATAATATGTATGATGAGATTATACCGCATATATACAACCCCAGTATCTCATCTAGAAATAACCAACAGGTTTATGAAACAAAAATCTTATTTTAACTTTTAAATTGTAAGTTTAAATGTTGTACATTCTAATGTTTTTGGAAGGGACTGTTATTATTATTATTATATTATGTCTCTCTTTTAGAAAAGTGTAAGATTGATAGAAGATGAGAGGAAGAAGATGGGAAAACTGATAGAAAAAGATGGGATGAGAATGAAAGATAGGAACAGATGTAAAGAACAGTTGAAGAAAGAAAAATCTACTTAGAAAAATAAAACAGCAGGCAGAAGTTAGAAGACGAGAAAAGGTGAAGAAGCAAGAAGACAGAATGACCAGATTCCATTAATAACAACATTGATTTTTTTTTCATTTTATTAATCTTAGGAAATACTGACAATGTGGGGGAAATCCTGGCTTTTTAAACTTGATTTTTGTTGTTGAAATTTTTATTAAATATGTAAAAATAAATGAAACTATTACTTTCCCAGTTTTCTAATATCATCTTAATTAGACCTTTTTATTTTATTTTTTTTCCATTAGCTGGAAATGTCCCGATTTGATTTCAGAAATCTGGTTAAATCATAACCTTAAAATAATAATATAATAAACTAATTTACATGTTTTAAACGGACTGAATGGAACTGAGTGACTTTAGTATTCAAGACATGGTAAAAGTAAAATTAAAAAAGGATCCAAGTTTGTTTTAACGAACAGCTCTTCTTAAAGTGTAGCGAACATACCAGCTGTCCACCGTCCTTTGGTCCTCAGCTAAACAAGGCTGAGAGGAAGGGTCCACAGTGGATGTTTGCTTCCACGCACCGTCTGTCACAAGGTGTGGACTTGTTTAAAAACCATCAACTTTCACCATCATGAACACTGATCATCTGATGTTAGCTGTTTAAGCTCCATGACGGCGAACATTTGAACCGCAGTGCTACTGAAAGCTAACGGCAACCTTCGGCTCCAGAAAAAATCGTAGAGGTTCAATATAGCAGCGATTAACCAGACGAAGGCTACACGTTAAAGATCCTGGGATGATCTTCAATGCTAATAAAACAAACACATCCCACACATAAAAAATATTTTTTTTTTCCTCAGAATATAGCCAGTCAAGCTAGCACTGATAAGCCCCGTTTACTTCCTATTTGCTGGAAGTTCTCGGGTCCTGCGTTAATGTCACCGCCATATTGTGAGTGGCATCAATGTTCTAGCACGGAGGTCTTCAACAGGGTTTTCGCGACACCCATGGGGTCCACGGAGTTACTGCATGGGGGTTGCAAAAGTACAACGGAGTATTAGAGCCAGGCTATAATATATATTTTTTGTATTTCGAGAAAAAAGTAATAAAATTAGGAGAATAATGTAATATTACGAGAATAAAGTCGTAAAATTATTCGGTCTCCGCCAGTCACGTGACTTTTGTTGCTAAGACGCCATTTTAGGTGGAAAAGGTGTAGTGTAAACAACCGCAGCATAGCTAAACGAAGGACTAAAGGCCTGTTTACATAGCAGCCTGTCCAAGATAAGTCATTACAGTTAACATAAGCCTGAAAACAGGGGCGGATTTAGAAAAATCGGTCTCCGCCAGTCACGTGACATTTGTTGCTAAGACGCCATTTTAGGTGGAAAAGGCATAGTTTTTTTTTTTTTTTTTTTTCACTTAAAGTCACACAACAATATATAAACAAACAAACAAACAAACAAATAAATATGCCAGGGGGTATGTCACAATAAACAAGTACAGTTAGGAGAAAATAAACAAGCAACTATACAAACATATGCGCTGGGGAGTGTCATATATATATATATGTGTATGTATTATACAAATAAATATATCTTTTACAACATTAAATTGTCTAGAATTTCTAGTTGGGAACAGACTGTTATGGTTTTTTGAGCTTTCTGATGAGAAGAAAGATGAATTGTATGAAAATATTGTTTGACTTCTATTAAATAAGCTTTAAAATCCGTTTTTTTTTTAGAAATTTAAATTTATGCAAGTGAAATTTGGCCAACAAAATTAAAAGATTGATAAGAAAAGGTTTGGGAAACATTTTACTTTGCAGTTGAAAGCCAAATAAAATGTTTTTCCAATGAAGCTGAAATTCTTTCATAATATTTGAATTCACATAGTTGCAAAAGTGTAACCAAAATGTCTTAGAGTATGGACACAACCAAAACAAATGTGTTACAGTTTCTGGGAGAAGATTACAAAAAGTGCAGTTCACAGGAATATCAGGTGCAAACTTTTTTAGGTAGTCTTTTACGGGATAAATCCTGTGAATAAGTTTGAATGAGACTTCTTTCACCTTGTTAGTGAGGAGAAAGTGATTGGGTAACAGCCAAGTGTATTTCCAGGAGACATCAGGCACAAATCGGTTCCAATATGATAGAACAGCAGGAACAGACACCACCTCTCTCTGCAAGAGGGATCTGACTGACTTATTGTTCTTACGAAGCGATGAGGTGAGACATATTTTGCCAACAGGAGAGTCCATGGGAGTCAGAGAGGGTGATGAAGAAGAATCGAGTCTTGGCCTCTGTCTATATAACATGCAGATCCCAGACGAAATGGCACCAAAAACCTTTGCGTATTCTCCAGAAGAAATAGGGAGGTCAAATTTAGAGAGAAATCCCTCATAACTCAATAATGTGCCATTGTCATCAAACAGTTGATCAACCAGAGTAATGTCATGCCTGAACCAAGAATCCAAGAACAATGATCTTTTCTTATACAGGATGTCCTTATTGTTCCAAATAAAATACCGGTGAGGCGAAAAGTTGTGCTTGTAGATAAGTGACCATGACAAAAAAGCCTGACGGTGAAAATTAGAGAGATTGATGGGAAGTTTATGTACATCAAAATTACATACCAGGAAGAAGGTTAAACCCCCAAGTTTTGAAAAAATTTAATACGGAATAGTATTCCATATAGAAGTTTGAGATGCGAAGAACTGGCGAATCCAATTTATTTTGAATGTATTATTTAATGTGGAGAAAGATAAACAGTTAAGCCCTCCATTTTCATATGAGTTAATTAAAGTAGATTTTCGAATGTAATGTATTCTATTCTTCCAAACAAAGTTAAAGAGCAATTTGTCTATTTCTTTTTCAGTGCCTTTATTAAGATCTAAAGCCTGAGCAGCATATGTAAGCCTAGAGATGCCTTCAGCTTTACTAAGTAGAATACGACCTCGTAGTGAAAGATCCCTAACCAACCACTGATTAAGTTTCTTTTTAGCTTTTAGAATTAAAGGATCAAAATTTAAGGAGCTACGATTTTTTTGTTCTTTTGTAATGGTTATGCCTAAATAAACAACCTTGTTTTTAACTGGAATGCCTTCAATTGATGTCTCAGTGCAATCTTTAACTGCCATAATTTCACATTTTTTGAGATTCAAATGCAGACCAGAAGCTTTTGAGAAATTATTTAATACTTGAATTGCTAATGAAACTTCATCCTTGTCCTTTAAAAACAGGGTAGTGTCATCAGCCAGTTGTGTTAGGATAAGTTCTTTTTCTGCAACAATTAACCCTTTCAGAGGACTGGTTTTAATATGATCTGCCAGAAGCTGAGCTACCAAAAGAAACAGGTAGGGGGAGACTGGACACCCCTGTCTGATTCCTCTGCTGATGTTAAATCTAGGAGAGGAGCCATTCCTTAATTTGATAGAACTGTTGTTGTTTTGATATAGAGTTTTGATAATCGTTACAAATAGCTTTCCAAATCCAAACTTTTCTAAACTTTGAAATATAAAGCCATGTTCTACAGTGTCAAAAGCCTTATAGAAGTCTAAAAATAAAATAAGTCCATTATCAGAAACAAAATCAGGATAATCTAAAATATCAAGAACAAGTCTTATATTATTTGTGATATGCCGATTTTTCATAAATCCTGATTGAGTTTCGTCAATGATTGAATGAAGAACTGATTTTAATCTTTTAGCGATCACCAAGGCTAATATTTTATAGTCGGTATTGAGAAGACAGATAGGTCGCCAATTATCGAGAAATAAAGGGTCTTTGTTGGGTTTTGGTATAAGTGTAGTTAAGCCCTGAGTAAGAGTTGCAGGCAGAGAGCCATTTTTAATGCTTTCATTAAAGACCTCCAGTAAAAAAGGGGCGAAGTCATTAGAAAAGTGTTTATAGAATTCAGCACTTAGACCATCGGTCCCAGGGGATTTGTTGGTTTTGAGATGTGCAATAGCATCAAGAATTTCATGAATTGTGATTGGCTCCTCACATCGTTTCTGGTCGATATTAGAAATTGGTTTTACTATTAAATTATTTAATAAGGAATCAATTGAGGCTTGACAGAGGTTAGAACGATACAGATTCTCATAAAATGAACAACAGTATCTAGCAATATGATCAGGATTATCAATTATTGAGTTGTTAATTTCAAGTCTGCTAATAGAATTATTGACAGCATTATGTTTTTCAAGATTGAAAAAGTAATGGGTATTTTGTTCTCCTTCTTCCATCCATTTTCTTCTTGATCTAACAAAAGCACCTTTACTTTTATTTATGTATATATTGTCTAACTTAATCTGTAATTCAGTTAATTCTTGTTGTTCTAAATCACTTAAAGTGGAAGGATTTGAATAAGACATCTCAACAATTCTGGAAATTATACAATTTTCTTCTGCTCTAATAGATTTGACCTTATTACTACTAAATTTTCTTAAGAATTTTCCAGCTTCAAATTTGAACAATTCCCAATTAAGGTTATAGCGAGCATCTACATGAGCTTTAGACCAATACTGATTGAATAACGTTGATATATTTGCAGAGACTTCTTCAAATTGCAGTAAGGAACTGTTCATTTTCCAGTGTGAGTAAAAAGATTGTTTTTTGTCTGAAAAATGTAAAATTAATTCAATAGCTTTGTGGTCAGTAAGAGGAGTAGGAAGTATTTTAACAGTTACATTCTCCTTGTTTACTGTGTTTGATATTAACCAGAAATCAATTCTAGACATTCTTGTTGACGATTTATTATTCCAAGTGAATATATAGTCATGAGGATGGACATCTCTCCAGATATCAGTCAAGTTGAATTTTTCCATAAAGGATTTGACAATTGAGTTGGAGGCATTAGGTCTGTTTGGAGGCCATTTATCAAGATCCCCATCAAGAACAGTATTAAAATCTCCTCCCATGATAATTATAGCTTTGGGGAATTTCTTTAGCCATTCTAAAAAAAAAAATCTCTATTAAGTGAAATAGACTATCATTCTCTCGTTTGTTGTTGTAACCATAAATATTAGCACAAATGAAGCAATGGTTTTCAAAAGCAAAAACTTGACAGATATAGTGTCCCATTAAGTCACTTTCAGAGGCAATAATATTCCCCTTAAATCTATGTTTTAACGTCATAACTCCTGCAGAATGCTCCGAACCATGAGAAAACCAAATGGAATTTCCCCATTGGGCTTTCCAAAAATTAACATCAGAAGCAACTGAATGACACTCCTGAAAGAAACAAAAATCAGGATTGATATTTTTGGCAAATAGAAACAACGCTTTCCTTTTTAACATATTACGCATCCCCCTGGCATTGAGAGATATAAATGAAAGGTTTAACATTTAGAGAACAAGTCAAAAGGGCTCGGTCAGAGAAGGTGAATAGTAACAAACATCGTGGACCAGTACCTTATTAAGGAACTAAATATTAGTTGGCACTGAAATATACATACTTAGAACAGTATGGTGAACCAAAACAGGATATCTGAAATATAACTTATTCCTTTACTGGGTCAAAAGTTGCAGGAATCTCCACGCCGTCAATGAAACCGCGACCACCTATGAAATATGCTGACTTCCCCTCTTCCCGAGCTTTCTGGATGGACGGCCACAGTTTTTGTCGGAAGTCGCGGTCTTCTTTGCACAGATCTTCAGTAAAACGGAGACCATTTTTTTTAAGAAAGTCGTTGCCTTTAGCTGCTTTCCATATGTAATCTCGATACCTTCTGGCGACAAAACGAATGATAATAGGACGAGGACGGGAGCTGCCAACGAACTTTTTCCCAACTCGATGAGCAACATCAATGAAGAGCTGAAGCCTCTCTTTTTCCCTCGGCATAATCTCTTGGCAGACCCGGGTCACCTCCGCCACCCGCGTCCTCCTTCTCCGTCTCGGGGACTCCGTGAAGTCTGAGGTTCCAACGGCGACTGTAGCGCTCCAGCTCGGTAACACGAATCGAACAGGCTGTGGTGTTTTTTTCAGTGAGCTCAACACGTTTTCCCATGCAGTCAACCTTTTTTTTTAAAAAGTTCCATTTGTTCAAGCATATTTCCCAACTTCATTTCCAGTGCATCACTTCTTGTGTTGATCAGGTTAGCAAGCATGGCAATAGGATCTTCAGTATTTGGGTTGCTTGTCGTGCGAGGAATATTGGGAGAAGGTTTCTTGGCAGCGGGAGACTTACTTGGTGTTACCGGGAGCGGGGGAAATTCATCCTCCTCAGCATCTGTTTGTGGCTCCGTGCCAGTGTAGTTATGGTCATCATTAGCAGGCATGGTAGTTGTGAGCAACTTATGCTCATTGGGTCTTTTCTGAGCAGCTTTTCGCATTTTCTTTCACGAAGAGTAGTGAAATTCGATAAGAACTAATTTCTTCTCAAAGTGTTATTTGGGGAAGCAAATAACTGCCATCTAACGTCCTGGTACTGAGACCACGATGCAATATGTCTTACACGTCCGCCATCTTGTCCGGACCTGGAAAAGGCATAGTGTACCGCGCCCGAGGTAAACAATTGACGTCACTTGGCGGAGACATAAAATTACGAGAATAAAATCATAAAATTACAAGAATAAAGTTGTAAAATTACGAGAATATAGTTGTAAAATGATGAGAATAAAGTCATAAAATTACGAGAATAAAGTTTTAAAAGTATGAGAATAAAGTCATAAAATTACGAGAATAAAGTTGTAAAATGATAAGAATAAAGTCACAACGAGAATAGTCATAAAATTACGAGAATAAAGTCATAATATTATGAAAATAAAGTCAAAACGAGAATAAAGTCGTAAAATGATGAGAATAAAGTCGTACAAGTACGAGAATAAAGTCGTAAAATGATGAGAATAAAGTCATAAAATTACGAGAATAAAGTCATAAAATTATGAAAATAAAGTCAAAACAAGAATAAAGTTGTAAAAATTACAAATTACAAAGTCCTAAAATTACGGGGGGAAAAAACACGTATTTACTCCTAAAAGTAGCCCTTTCTTCCCTAAAATGAGGAATGTCAAGCATTATGTTATTTGTCAAGCACTGGTTTGACATTCATTCTCATAATGTTCAGAAACAGATTTTGTGTTATATCGGGTAAAGAGAAAATGTGTCTCTGCAAGTCATCTGGGAGAAATCATAAATAACTATTTTAATAAAAACTTATCAAATAATAAATTTCTGTAGATATTAGTGCCTTTAAATATCAATTTTATGCAGAATGTTTATTGATACAAGTAGGTAAGTAATGACGATGGTTAAGGAATTTTATCCACTATACCTTTTATTTAGAAAGCACAGATGTTTAAATATATGCATCTACTTGCTAGCAAAGGCTGTAGGAAAGTACAGTTTGTCTTTATTTTCTAAATAAAGACAATTTTAATGCTGGACCGGGGCCTCGCCCGATACTGGTATCGGTGTAATACTAGTTGTAAATATTACAATTTTCAATTCAAAAAAATGAAACACTTTAAAGGTATAGAAGACAATCTTTTATTTCTGGGTGGAATACCTAAATAAGTGGTGCTCGTAATTGTTAAATCATTCTGGTGATATGTTTAAATATTACCGTTGTACATGCTCGTCACGTTAGTTATCTTTTTGTGCACATGCGTACTTTCAGGCATCTATCTGTGGTGAGCTATGGTTTCAGTCAGTCATTGAAGCCCACCTTTTTAAACTTGGTTCTTTGAAAGCGGCCGAGGATCATAAGAGAAAAAGTGTCTACGAAGTGTATGAGAAGCAAAGAAAGGTCTCAGAAGAGGCAGATATATCCCAGAATGCTTTGAGTGGAGAGCATTCCTCGCAAAGCATTATGGGATTGGCTGTCACAGCGGCCCGCTGTCACCATAGGCTTTCGCTACCCGACAACAGAGACTAATAACAAAGATGGCGAAGGCACCAAGCAGTGGAGGAGGAGATAGGTGACCATTGGTAAGTTAACCGAGTTCACTATAAAGTCCACTATATAGTCCCCCTCTATGTAGTGATTGAGGGGTTTAGGGGTGAGGACGGACGTTTGGACACAGTAAGCTTGTAGGAGCTATGAGAACAGAGCGTGCACAAGGAAAAATGGGCTTGTGTGTGCTCTCGCACCCATGGAGAGGTCTGTTTTTTTTTTTAAATACGCGAAAATCCTCTAAAATACCTTTAACCTCTACTATGGATCTTAACCTACTAAAGAAAATAGAAAGTTGACAGGAAGTACTTATATAGCGACCTCCAAAATAGGGCTTGCCATTTTCTGCCCCCTGACTTATAAAATATACAACAGACTTAAGCTATTCAGACAGACTATAGATATTAGGGTACCATCTATTAAGGTTACTACTGTGGCCAGTTGTCCAAGGGTTTTTGGGGTTTAGTCTTATCTTCAGAAATACAATTTGGTCCAGCTCCTTCTAACCAATGATGAAGTATTTTAAGTTTTTTCTTTGCAACATTTTAATGTGAAAAACATCAATACTATGCAAGTACTTTCAATTATAGATGTAGAATTTGAAGTGATGCACTTGATCACTGCTATTGATCAGACAAAAAGAGCCTGGACAGGCGCTCAAAACTCCTGGAAAGACAAAAAAAATAAATCACACCTCTTCGCTCTTTTGGCATCATGCATCTTCTACCTTCCATTTTCTTTTTTTTAAATCAAATGACTTACCTATGTTCTATAAATCTTTCACTTCGAAAATAGGCAATTTAAACAGGCTTTGATGCAACCACAGGGACACATAAAACCACTTGAACATTAAATACTTTTGTTTATTAGACAAATGGAATCAATGTTTTTCATTACTGTTCAGCAGGATTATAGATGTTTTGGACAATGCGACTGTGGTCCAATGAAGCAGGCAAGCTGTAATATTTAAAACATCCTTGTGAAATTACAGATATCTGCTCCTTTAATATCATTTAATAATCAGTTGAATATCATATATTTATGTCTGCTGATTTTGATGTTTTATTGCACCAAATCGCCCAAAAATATTTCCTATATCCCCTTTCAAAATGTAGCATCTGCTTTTCCCCCATAGAGGACAAAGTCATTTCAGGTAGAAGTAAATTATATTATGAAAAATTAGTCAATTGGACTAGATTCTTTAATAAATGTTAAAAATGTTAGGACCCCAGGCCTTAAACTAACTGGCTCAGTTTGCCATCCATGCCCACAGTATAAAAATATGGAAACCTTTGTTTTAAAAAAAGTAGTTGTTCATTAACATAACTGAAAGCAAATCAAGCAGAATTTGGAGTTGGGCTTTTCTGAATTGTACAATTTGTATGTCTGAGTAATGGTGAGGCAATAGCTTATTTACATTAGCACCACAACATCTCCTGATTTAATTTCCCAAAATCTAAGTTGTGCTATCATACTTCTGTTAAAAATAAAAACAATTTTTAGTGAAAAAACAACATAAATATTCAACATTCTAGGAAAATTCTTGGATTAAGACACTGTTAGCCAATTCCTAGAAATTCCTCCACGATTGTTGAAATCAAAAACGAGAATTATCACACTAGGATTTTCTTCAGAGGTTTAATATGCTCAGACAAAGAGGAACACATACCAGATTTAAACAGATGAACCAGGTCAGAGATACTGGCTACATAGGGTCTTACAGGCTACTTCAAAATGGTCAAAAAGAGACGAAAACAGATTCAGTGCGGTATCAGAAAATAATCACAGAGCTCATTGGATTAAGATGAAAGCTCCACAAAAAACTAAGACTTATGCAGAAGTAAAACCTAAGGCACATCAGTGGTATTAGTCTTTAGTTAAATAACAAAAAGCCTGTGTTGACCTAGAATTAATGAGATATTAGCTTCTAGTTTAAGAGAAGATACATGACTGCTCAGAAATGTTGCCCTTGTCAATTTGTTCTTTGAGATCAATCTATTGAATGAAGGTTTGAGGAAAGAGCTCCTCTCAAACCTATTCTGAAAGTCAAGAATAAGTCAATTAACTGAAGGCACAGAAACAATAGCTTAACAAGTGCAATTTAGAATTATTACCATTGTTCAATCCAAGGAACAAACAAGAATTGTCCCCAGAAGTTGAGCTCAAAGAGGACAAACTAGACCGAAACCAAGTTATTAGAGCTAAAATTACAAATATGCACATGTCCAAGCTACAGAACTCAACACTCCTATTCTAATTATAATTTCTAATTTGAAAAATAAATCCTTTTCATGATTTGGTGAATTGTGGTTTATAGGTTAAATGTTGGACAACAGACATCAGCTCAATCTAACAAAAACAGCATAAACTGGCTTAAATAAATATTACTAAATAATGTTTAAGGTTACCAGCGAAATTCAGCTTTCAAAGTAGGTGTACTATACACTGTAATGTTGCAAGAAAGACATGAGATAAATCTATGGACTGAAATTAAATTTCCGACTAAATGTAATAACAACTGTAGTTGAAAACATAATTAGGAAAATTAGACAAAGGACCAACAGAGTTCAGTCTTAGTTAGTTGTGTACCTGGTTATGAAAAAAACAACCATTCAAGCAAGCAAACATATAAACTAAAACGTAATAAATATTGACGAAAACATAATAGCAATAAATTATCAGCCAAATTTACTCTTCAAAAGAGAACATTTGGTTTAGGTTTATAATTTCATGTTTGATGATATATTAGCCAATTCTTTAAGCATTTAAAAAGAAATTGTTAACCATTTCTACTTACCAAATATTTTACATATTAAACAATAGAAATAATAATACAAACACAATTCAGTCTTAAAGGAAAACTTTAAGAGGTTAAAACACGTTACAACGCAGGTGTCAGCACAGCATTAAAAAAGCCGACAGGCACAGACAGAAACAGAGATGTTACCCTGTTGATCATCAAGGAGCTTCGTCATGCAGCTTTCTGTTCGGCCAGCATTCACTTTTCAACAGAAATATGTTTATTTTTAATATCATTAAAGTTTTAATAAAATAAATACAACCAAACATGGAGTATTTCCATCTGAATCTCTGGAACTGAGAAGTTTGAATTTCTTGTCATGTCGTATTTTTCATTTCTTTCCGTGTGGTGATCAGTCATCTTATGTCTCTTCATGCATTTTGTTCTTGATATATGCTCTAATATTATTCTTTTATCTCCTTTCAGGCGTTGTAGTGTTTCTTCATTCGCTCTATCTTCACATGTTTCTGTGTAATTTTCTTTCTCTTAGTGTGTTAATGTGACATTTTGTCTCTCTTCATGTATTCTTGTGTCATTCAGTCTCTTTCCCTGGTGATCCTGTTACATTGTGTCTAATACATTCCTGTGGAATTTTCCAGTTCCTGTCATTTTGTGTCACTTCATCACTTTGGTGTCTTCACATGTTATTTTATCTCTGTGCATTTTTGTGTTTTGTCACATTTTGTATTCTGCTGTCATGTTGTGTCTTCTTTTGTATCTTAAGCATTTTTTGTAGGTTTAATCTTGGGTTTCCTGGTGTGCAGTGATGTAATTGTGTGTGGTTTTGTGCCTCTTAATGTGTTTGTGTCTATTTTGTACCTGTGTGCCATTTTGTGTTGTCATATGTTTATGTATTGTGGCATGTCATTTTGTGTCTCATCATGCACTTCTGCATCATTTTCTGTGTCTTGACATATTTTTGTGTAATTTTGTGCCTCTTCAAAGGTTCCTGTGTAAGATTGTGCCTCCTCATAGGCTTCTGTGAATTTTTGCGTCACTTCCTGTGTTCCTGTGTAATTTTTGGCCTCTTCGCGTTTTCGTATCATACTGTGGCGTGTCAGTTTGTGCCTCTTCACATGTTCTTGTCGTGAGAACCTAACAGAGCAAACGTCACAACTGAAAGGTTTCTCTCCTGTGTGGGTGATCATGTGTCTCGTGAGACGGGACTTTTCAACAAATCTTTTCCCACATTCCTCACAAGCAAAATTTTCATTTCCTGTTGGGACCCTCTGTGCTCTCGAATGAACCGGCATATGGTTGTCGAGATCACATTTTCTGACAAATTTCTCCTCACAGATTTCACAGGTAAGCAGGTTCTCCCCAGTGTGGTGTCTGACATGCAGAAGTAGACTTCCTTTTCGGGTAAATTTTGCATTACAATAAGCGCAAGCAAATGGTTTTAGGCCTAAATGGGTCAACATGTGCGCTTGAAGATCAGCATTAAATCTAAAGTGTCTGTCACAATCTGTGCATGGAAATGGTTTCTCTCCATTATGAATCATCATGTGTCGCTTCAGAGCTCCCTTAAGACTAAATTTCTTAGAGCATACCTCACACTGAAACGGTTTCTCTCCCGTGTGGCATCTCATGTGCCGTTTTAAGTCCTTCAGCTCTGTGAAAGCTTTACCACAATTACCACAGGCAAATGGTCTCTCTCCAGTATGGAGTCTCAAGTGAGATTTGAGATGACACTTGTAGGGAAATGTTTTACCACAAAAATCACAAGCAAATGGTTTCTCTCCGGTGTGGACCGTCATGTGACAATTGAGTTGATATTGCTGGTAAAAGGTTTTACCACAATCAGCACAAGCAAATGGTTTCTCTCCGGTGTGGAGTCTCATGTGAGATTTGAGATGACACCGAAAGGGAAATGTTTTACCACAATCTTCACAAGCAAATGATTTCTTCTCAGCTTTAGCCTCAGTTTGAGTGTCAGTGTTTTTCCTCTTTCTGGGCCGTTTCTTTTCAGCTGAAGAGCCAGCAGACCTCACTACTGATCGCCGTGCCACACAGCTGTCACCCTCACCACTGACGTCAGCATTAGACGAGTCTGATGCATGTTTTGATTGTCGATGCTCATGTGGTTGAGGGTTTGGTTCTGCCCTTCCACAGTCTCCATCCGGGTCTTTTTTTATCCGCACAGCTGAGATTCTGTTTGGAGCACCCGCCTCTTTGCTGTCTTCGGGTTTGATATGATTTAGTTTTTCATCATCTACAATCTTCACAATAAGCTGCTCTCCCTCTTCACCGATCCACAGTTCTTCATCTTCTTCCTTTATCTGGGGGGGTTGCACATCCTCTTGGTTTACACTGGAGCTCAAGTCATGAGGAACTTGTAGTTTCATTCCCTGCATCTGCTCCACTGGATTAACTGGAACACACAACGATGAACAGTTTTTCTAAAAACTTAACAAAGCAAACAGTTCCATACTGATATTAATGATACCAACAATAAGTATCTCATTCATTGATAATAAGGGAATTACAAATAAATAAACATATAAAAGGTTAAATGTTAGTGGACCACAGCATATTTGTAATTCCCTCTGAAATAATGAATTGTGAATCAAATATCTAAAGGGTTACTGATTTCTGATTAAGCAAATCCTTTAATTAAAGATTATTTAACCAATTAATGCTTTATTTATTCTTGGATTTGCATTTTGAATGGTGCTGAACACGTTCCAATTGATCCAAATCAGTATAAAGAGTAATTCAACTTTATTTCAAATTCCTAAGGATAAATTTTGGTTCTCAAAGTGCATGCATATAATTGCACAACATCTTTCATCGTCCTGTAGGTGGGCACTGAACACACACTGAACAACAAACGTATAGGGTAAAAACAAAATAATCAAAGGAAAAATATAACTATCTATGGATCTAAAATCTAAAACACAATAAATTGATAAATGAGTATGAATATTGTAAATATTGTAAACAGTGCTGATAATCGAAAATTCTTAAATAATTTATCATTGGTAAAAGGGAGGTGGTCTCAGTTTGATCGCTTTGGAAAAAGAAGCAAAAGAAAATTTGGAAATCTAGAGCAGGCTTTAGACTTGGTACCTGTTTGGTGAACTGGCGTTTCACTTTCTAGAAAAGAACACATAGCACCGGGATCCCCCTTGCCTGGTTCTGGTCTTTGGGAGAACTCTCCAGCAGGTTCTGATTCCTTCAGTTCAGCTAAGCTGCATGTTGGAGTTTCCTTCTTTTTGTCTTCAGCTTTGATGCGACTACACTCTGAAAACTGCTCTTCTTTTTCCTTTTTCACAGCAGGCTTACATGTAACTTCCTCCTTCATATGCTTTGAGGGGTGCAGGTCCAAACTAGAAGTCCAGTGATGGCAAACTTCTTCTTTAACCCCCAACAGCTGCTGTCCAGGAAACACTGAGACAAAAATGGACATTTAAATACCTAGAGAAAAAGAAAAAGAACCTTCTCCTAAAATCAGAATTCTTATTTTTATTTATTTTTGCTCTTTTAGTAATCTAATAAATTTTATGATAAAAAATGGCAAAAAAACTAAAAGGAATAAAGAATGAGAAACTAAATAAAGAGGCAGCCTTTGTAGTTTGGTACCAAGATGAGGAGGAGGATGAAGGAATAGTGTGATGTTAAGAAAAATAAACTTCAGGCACAGAGATAATTATATAACGTAGATGATGAGATAATCTAGGGGCTTTCAGCCAGCTAATAGGTGCCTTTCTTAATAAACAGTTATAGGAGTTGAAGCCCATTAGAATTATTAAGATTTGGTCGATAAAAGTCAGTTGTTTTTCCTATTTAAGTTTAATTAAAACTTGATTAATAGCATTATATATATATATATATATATATATATATATATATATATATATATATATACATATATATGACCACAATACAATGACTGTCATAGGTAGCCACAAAACAAAAATCAAATAAATATATTTGTGATGTGCACTCCATGCAAAGAATACTAGAGATAATAAATAAAATAGTGATGCACTAATGTGACTCATTTGAAGATATATTGTTATGCATTTTAAGAAGTTCAGTGACACCCTAGGTACATGACAAGGGTAATTAAACATCGACTAGGAAGCAGTATGGAAAATAACTTGAAATTGACACTGCTTCTGCACCTGAATGAGGCCCATGGTTGCTCCAATGAGCAGATGGCACAATAAAGCCAGGCATAAACGTGGAAATTGGACCAAAAAACAAAACAAAAAGAAATATTTTCCTATTGTTGTTATTTGGCATTTAAATTTTTTTTTGAATGGTTGAAGACATTAAGTGCAGGGAATTTATATTTGTTGATTATTTTGGTGCATTTCATGTTAAGTTAAAATATGTTTTTCTTTTAGTAATGATTATCTAATATGAATTATATTTTAGTAGGAATAAGGAAATAATGATTCAGATCACAGCAGAAAAAAAACACAACAATTCAAAACTATCTAAAGCTTAAATCCATAAATCGAGCCCAACGGGTGCATACAGCAATATAACCAAAACTACAACGGGAAACAAAAAAAATATAAAACAAAACATTAAAACAGCTTACAAATACATGTGCTCCCTGTGTCTAATGATAGAATGGCAGGAAGAGATTTAATATTCTTGCCATTTCTAACAATATGAAGAAGGTAGCACACATTATTAGAGGCACGACATGTTTTGATAAACCTAGTCTGATATGGATGAATCAGGATGGTCATCAAAGGTTCTAAACAAGATGCTAAAACAAATAACGTAATTACACAACATTTTTTTTTTATTATACAATATATACAGACTAATAATCCAACATAAGCAACTGCTAATATACATACATATAATAAATATACTAATAAATACACTATTCATTTAGCGAAGTAACAAATATAGCCCTTCAGTGAATTGTTTTGAAAATATGGCAAGTTTGAGCATAAATTAATGGGAGGCTTTCATATGATGAATTAGCGGTAAGGAAATATTCCAGATGATGTATTATCATCACCAACCAGCTACCATCTTTGCACAATTACGCACACTTTGACTTTTAATCAAAGTGTGTGATTGTCTACAATTTGTTCACCTGATTAATCAACATCTATCCAACTTCATTTGGTTTCATTTGATGATTTGCCATCTTTTATTATTAGAATTAAATGGCCCTTTAAAATAAATGTGCATTTAATGCTCCTCAGCTAACCACAGTTCTGGATGAGGATGTTAGCATAATTTTTTAAGCATGGTACTATGATGTATGGAGCTAAAAGTTGCAGTGACAGCTCTGATTTATGGAAAACCATCAGATTTGATGCTCTTCACTCAAACTGAGGCCATAGTTATTTTAATGAGCAAGTTTTGGTGCTTTTTGGCTTGTTATTTTGGGTTTAAAAAGGTTTCGTGGGTGCTGCAACTTTTCACAGCAGGTCAGAAGATTGTCTGGAGTGTTACACTCTTTCAAGCAAAGTTAATTTTTTTACATACGAAGTTTTGCATTAAAAAATTGCGCCCTGTTTTTGTGCATAGACATACCGTATACTTTAAGCCCCTGGATGCTGTGATCGTCAGGTTCCTGTTAGAGTGATGTGATTTTTGCAGATCGACTGCATCTGGCTACAGCATCAAGCAAAAAGTGAATCCCTGCTGGCCGCTCCTTAAGATGCTGCTCTGTGACACCCTGTCTTATTTTCTGCAGACTTTGCAGCTGAATGAAACAGACCTGGATTCAAGGATTTTTTTTTTATTGTCACTATCTCACATACATGGAACATTATTTACCTTCAGTTTCTTTCTTCACAAACTCCACAAAGCGGGATTGTGTTTCACAGTCCCGGCTCTCCATCTCTGATTGATGTGTTCCTCCAGCTTGAGGTTGTTAGTAAGCCCACTTCTCTAAATATACTTCAAGTAAAGGTCAGCTCTCAGATGTTTCCCTGATGAGATATAAATCCCTCCACAACTAGCATCATACACAATCTGAGGAGAGACAAAACAGGCATAATGGAAGATGAGAAAAGAGTTTGTTTTTATACAGAGGAAACAAAAGAGACAGAACAAGTAATATTTAGACCCAACTTTGGTTCTTAGTGCATAAGAAAAATATCTTACACACACATATATACACATATATATATATATATATATATATATATATATATATATATATATATATATATATATATATATAATGAAGGACTTGGTTGCCTTGCTAACCTGTGCATACAGGGGGGCAACTGGATATTCAAAATTACAAAATTATACTTGTATGCAATAATTGTTTTCTTAGTATTGATAATCTTAGAATTGATAATTTAACATTATTATTAGGGCTCTTTAACAATTTAGCTTGTTTGTTTTTAAGCTATTTTCCTAATTTAGTGTTTTTTCATTTAATTTCATCAACAAATCTACCATTAGAAATGAAAATCTACAGGAGAGGTCTTCATTGTTAATATTTCTTTATTTTCACAAAAAAACTAAAAATTAGAAGCAATATCAGCTGCTTGGGGTAAAAAAATTAAATAAAAATAAATTGGCTGATTGTAACTATAGATCATTGAATTGATTGTCCAGTATCCATCCATCTTCCTCTTTAAATCTGCTTTATTGATTTTTTTCTACATATTTTAGCCATTTACAAGGCATTTACAATGTGCCATTTAAAGTTCCTATTATTGATCTTAATAGGAGCAGCCCTAATATGCTTTCACTACTACGTTGAAAGGAACATAAACTACAAAGGTTGTTTTTATCTTCAAACTGACAGTGATGCTTCCTTTGCCAGGGTCTAGATCCTTTTATTTAATAATTGTTGAAATTCCATTTTGCCACTTGATGTCACAGTTTCTCCTCATATTTCAGCCTCGAAGCTTTTACAGTTTTTGTTTAAAAAAACAAAAACCTTATGTTTTTAGATGAGTTTTTAACCAATTAAAACGGAACTAAACAATTGATACGTTTAAAGCTGGGATTTATGTGCTTTATTATTTTTCTGGGTGGAATCTGATTCGATTCGAGATCTAATAGAATATATTAGGGTCTTTTTTTCTGTTTATCTTAAAAGTTAATTAGTGCTTCTGGTATTTCCAATATGGCGGACGCGCTGACGTGTCGCAGTATTGGTCAATTAAGCTACACGGAGAATAATACACTAAAGAAAATCAGCTTAATTCGCGTTAAATCAGACTTTTTTCTTACCAGTTATATGGTTTCTATAAGAAGCATCCTGAGGCTTCCAGGCTACGAGCTTAACCTCTGCAGTTTATCCTCTAAAAGCAGACTTTCAGTGCTGAACATAATCCACTTTCTCCATGGTGTCATGGTTAAACTGGGCCAAACAGACGAACTCACAATCTAATCGCGTACATTTCTGCCATACTGGATCTATAGTGGCGTTACAGGGAAGCGGAGTCTCGCTCTTCGTCTGGAATTCATTTATTTATAGATCTGTGCTGGATTTTGATCAGGCATATGCGCAAACACTCTTTAATTATGTTTTGAGGTGTCTCAGTGCTGCCCCCTGCTGGTGTAAATTAGCTCCTGCCGCACCTAGTTTTTCAAATTTTTGGGTGAAGATTATGCTGAAGAACAAAAAAAGTGCAGCAACTTGGGGACTCTTAATAAGGACTAGTGTAAAGAACTGCTTTTTTCTTTAAGTTCTACATATATTTCAATACTGTGGGGAATAAAACCAACATGTTAAAAGACAGTTTTCAGTCATCAGCGCCCGTCCTTGCACCTAATTACTCCCTGCAGTCAGAGAAGATGAAGCTTGACAGTCAGAGCTCTAGGCTTGTGTCTGTCTTTATGGAAGTCCCTAACAAAAATATAATAAACACTGCTCCGTTGGAGTTCAATCAGGTCAGAGTCTACCTGAAACATAAGACCAGGCAGGTGTTGACATCTGAAGCCACTTCTGCACTTTATCTGAATGACTACACAGTGGAGAACTAACAGGAAATATGATGTTATGGTTAGAATCATCTGACTTTCATCTAAGTTTACACCAAAACAAGAGTATCTATTCATAATGGAGGCAGTTGATGTCAAAATATCAGTGTTTAAAGCTCTAGAGCAGCAGGGCAAACTGTCTTGGTTTAGGATAAATTTAACAGATGTGTTTAGGGATCGCCAAGTAGTGCAAACTGCTTCATTGACTGATCGTTTAGGGATCGCCAAGTAGTGCAAACTGCTTCATTGACTGATCCGTCTTTAAACTAGTACGTTTTAATATGTACGGTGGCCTGGAAGTGCAAACCAACAATACAAAATCTGAAACACTTTTACAAATCTTGAAACAAATTTACATTTCAGAAAACAAATTTACAACAAACGAAACACTTTTACAAATCTCGAAACAAATTTACAAATCTTGAAACAAATTTACATTTCAGAAAACAAATTTACAACAAACGAAACACTTTTACAAATCATAAAACAAATTTACATTTCAGAAAACAAATTTACAACAAACGAAACACTTTTACAAATCTCAAAACAAATTTACAAATCTTGAAACAAATTTACATTTCAGAAAACAAATTTACAACTGACAAAATCTTACGGAAAGGGAGGGACTGTCTTCGAAGCTTACCCGGAAGTGATAACCGGAGCGTTCATGATGACCCAAGATGGAAGCGAATCGAGTTGCGTTTTGCCCGTTCTGCGGCACTCATGTGAGCAGTTTAACGCGGTTTTGTTTTTCCTGCGGTCGGTCCTTGGAGTTTTTAAATGGTACCGAACAGACGGAAGAACCGGTCTTGTGCGAAATTCTGTTTCCCCGTGAAAATCTGTTCCCCCTGTGTCGGGAGCGCGCGTTGCAGCCAGAGAGGCGGATCTGCCCATTTTCAAGGCGCTCCTGATCATTTTTCAGGAAAAACAGCTCATATAATCATCTCGACTTTGTAACATCCATTTTAATCGGTTGCTCTTTTTAAAAAATTGTAAAATAAATACATTAATGAGGCCCTCTTACACTGTTTTGTGTTGTTTTTTAAACGCCAAGAGAATCGGTATTTCTCCAACTTTTGTCCCTTCAGCCTGACAAAAATAAACGTCAGTCACCGAACACAACAACACGTAGTGTATTTTTAATTTTTCATTGCTGATACACTATATTGCCAAAAGTATTTGCTCACCTGCCTTGACTCACATATGAGCTTAAGTGACATCCCGTTCCTAATCCATAGGGTTCAATATGACGTCGGTCCACCCTTTGCAGCTAGAACAGCTTCAACTCTTCTGGGAAGGCTGTCCACAAGGTTTAGGAGTGTGTTTATGGGAATTTTTGACCATTCTTCCAGAAGCGCATTTGTGAGGTTGCACACTGATGTTGGACGAGAAGGCCTGGCTCTCAGTCTCCGCTCTAATTCATCCCAAAGGTGTTCTATCGGGTTGAGGTCAGGACTCTGTGCAGGCCAGTCAAGTTCATCCACACCAGACTCTGTCATCCATGTCTTTATGGACCTTGCTTTGTGCACTGGTGCACAGTCATGTTGGAAGAGGAAGGGGCCAGCTCCAAACTGTTCCCACAAAGTTGGGAGCATGGAATTGTCCAAAATGTCTTGGGATGCTGAAGCATTCAGAGTTCCTTTCACTGGAACTAAGGGGCCAAGCCCAGCTCCTGAAAAACAACCCCACACCATAATCCCCCCTCCAACAAACTTTACACTTGGCACAATGCAGTCAGACAAGTACCGTTCTCCTGGCAACCGCCAAACCCAGACCCGTCCATCAGATTGCCAGATGGAGAAGCGCGATTCGTCACTCCAGAGAACGCGTCTCCACTGCTCTAGAGTCCAGTGGCGGCGTGCTTTACACCACCGCATCCGACGCTTTGCATTGCACTTGGTGATGTATGGCTTGGATGCAGCTGCTCGACCATGGAAACCCATTCCATGAAGCTCTCTGCGCACTGTTCTTGAGCTAATCTGAAGGCCACATGAAGTTTGGAGGTCTGTAGTGATTGACTCTGCAGAAAGTTGGCGACCTCTTCGCACTATGCGCGTCAGCATCCGCTGACCCCGCTCCGTCAGTTTACGTGGCCTACCACTTCGTGGCTGAGTTGCTGTCGTTCCCAAACACTTCCATTTTCTTATAATACAGCTGACAGTTGACTGTGGAATATTTAGGAGCGAGGAAATTTCACGACTGGATTTGTTGCACAGGTGGCATCCTATCACAGTTCCACGCTGGAATTCACTGAGCTCCTGAGAGCGACCCATTCTTTCACAAATGTTTGTAAAAACAGTCTGCATGCCTAGGTGCTTGAATTTATACACCTGTGGCCATGGAAGTGATTGGAACACCTGATTCCAATAATTTGGATGGGTGAGCAAATACTTTTGGCAATATAGTGTATAAGAGGATGGAAACTGGCTGATAGCAGGGCACACAGATTAAGACGTCCTGCGAAGATGAGAAGAATTTCTGGTTAATCACCTTCTAATGTAAAATATGACACATTACTGGATTAAGGACATTTATAGTATACCACATCACACATATCAATTTTAGAGAAATTGGAAACAGTTGCTCTTTATTTCCCAAAGATATGGGAGGAGGAGAGGAGAGAATGGATGTTTCAGCTGCCTGAAATAATCTGTTCCCCCCCTTTAATTTTTAAAAATAAAGATTAAATATGACCAAATCCACAGGATTTGTTGTTGGTGGTGAGGGGAATAAGCACAGTTAAAGACTTGCAGGTAAATCAATTTCTTCCCCTTTTATGGAGGGGGAACAGATTATTTCAGGCAGCTGAAACATCCATTCTCTCCTCTCCTCCTCCCATATCTTTGGGAAATAAAGAGCAACTGTTTCCAATTTCTCTAAAATTGATATGTGTGATGTGGTATACTATAAATGTCCTTAATCCAGTAATGTGTCATATTTTACATTAGAAGGTGATTAACCAGAAATTCTTCTCATCTTCGCAGGACGTCTTAATCTGTGTGCCCTGCTATCAGCCAGTTTCCATCCTCTTATATCAGCAATGAAAAATTAAAAATACACTACGTGTTGTTGTGTTCGGTGACTGACGTTTATTTTTGTCAGGCTGAAGGGACAAAAGTTGGAGAAATACCGATTCTCTTGGCGTTTAAAAAACAACACAAAACAGTGTAAGAGGGCCTCATTAATGTATTTATTTTACAATTTTTTAAAAAGAGCAACCGATTAAAATGGATGTTACAAAGTCGAGATGATTATATGAGCTGTTTTTCCTGAAAAATGATCAGGAGCGCCTTGAAAATGGGCAGATCCGCCTCTCTGGCTGCAACGCGCGCTCCCGACACAGGGGGAACAGATTTTCACGGGGAAACAGAATTTCGCACAAGACCGGTTCTTCCGTCTGTTCGGTACCATTTAAAAACTCCAAGGACCGACCGCAGGAAAAACAAAACCGCGTTAAACTGCTCACATGAGTGCCGCAGAACGGGCAAAACGCAACTCGATTCGCTTCCATCTTGGGTCATCATGAACGCTCCGGTTATCACTTCCGGGTAAGCTTCGAAGACAGTCCCTCCCTTTCCGTAAGATTTTGTCAGTTGTAAATTTGTTTTCTGAAATGTAAATTTGTTTTATGATTTGTAAAAGTGTTTCGTTTGTTGTAAATTTGTTTTAAGTAATATAATGATATCTTGAGTTAGTGACACCAAGAAAAACACAAAGAAAGCAGGTTGTTTGAAAAGATTGTATGAAAAATGGATGCAGTTATAAAACTGTCAAGTGTTACTGCTGGAAATTTTTTTTATTTTATTTCGTTTTTAAATTAACTCAGATATTTTGCAGAATAGGATCCCCTGCTTTGTTTCGATCTTCACAGAGAAACACTGAGGGTTCAAAAAGCTCACAATATTACTCACAATATTGATGTTTCTTAATATTTGAGGAAGAGAGCAGCAAAAATCCTATATCCAGGAATTAACTCCTCTACCTTCATTTTCTGAGGCATTCAGTAAAAAGTCTCTAAAGTTATATCTTAAAAGAACAATTTTCAAAAACGTTGACATACTTTGATAGTGAAAACCGCCTCAGGCCCAGAGGTATCAACCTATGAGGAAGCTAAATGGGTTCAATTAGAGACTAATCTTAAAACCCCAGACATTTCTTAGTTCCCGCCCTCGTGAGCAATCATGTGCCGTTTAAGATCCCCATCTCGAGAAAACGCTTTACTGCAAACAGTACAAACAAACGGTTTCTCTCCTGAATGGATCCTCATGTGATTTTCTAGATGGTACCTTTTGTAAAACCTACTTTTACAAACATTGCAACCGAACGGCCTCCCCTCTGTATGAAGCCTCACGTGTCGCTTCAACTGGTCCTCCTTTACGAAGCGTTTGTCGCAGTCGTTACAGCTAAATGTCGCGGTGTGAAAACCCATGTGGTTTTTCAGGTGGTTTTGTTGGGAGAATCCTTTGCTGCAAACATTGCAGACAAACGGTTTCTCCCCAGTGTGAACGCGTATGTGACTCTTTAAAAGATCCTGCCGGGAAAACCCTTTCCCACAAAAACTACAAACAAACGGTTTTTCTCCTGTATGAACTCGCATGTGACTCTTGAGGTGAATTTGTTGGGAAAATCCTTTGCTGCAAACAGTGCAAAGGAATGGTTTCTCCCCCGTGTGAACTCGCATATGACTCTTCAGATGATCCTGTCTTGAAAAGGCTTTACTGCAAACGCTACAGATAAACTGTCTTTCTGTGGGGTGGATCCTCATGTGGTTCTTAAGAGTTTCACGTCTTTGAAATCTCTTTCCACAAATGTCACAGGCGTATATTCTTTTTTGAGTTTGAACTGTCTCTTGTGTCTGAAGAGAACCCTTCTCATTAAATCCATCACAAAGATGGGAGCTATGTTCTCCTTCTGTCTGAGTTATTGTGAGTAATTTCAAATCAGTATCGTTCGGTTCTGGTCCTTCACTGTCCTCACTACCAGGTTCTGTTTCCATCTGTTCAGCTGAGCTGATGGGTGGAGCTTCTGTCTCTCTTTTGTCTTCAGGTTTAATTCGATGAAGCCCTGATAAATTAGGTTTTTCCTCATCTACAATCCACAGCTCTTCCTCTTCTTTCTTTATCCTGATGAGCTCTGAGTTCAACTGGTCAGAACTGGAGACTTGGAGCAAACTGGGAGCCGCTCTGTTAATCGCCAACAGCTGCTGGTCCCCTGTAGAGGAGACACAGGCAAACATGGCTGGGAGTTTAACTAGCTTCATAGGCAACAGCTGCTTGTGGTGACAAAGGAGCTAAAATGAAGAATGGAAGGATTTAAAGACGGAAAAAAACACAGAAAGTATCAGGAGAGAAATAAGACACACGAGGAAGGGATGAAAGATGAACACAAAGCTGAGAGAAAGGACACAGGAATAGAAGGACTCAATGAAGGAAAAACAGAGGTTATAACCAAGGAAGGAAAGGAGGAAGGAACGAGAATAATCAAAAGGAAAAACATAACAGAGAGAGGACATGAGGAAAGAAACATATCAAAATACTAATATTCTTTATACAAAACCTATTTTCCCCCCTTCTTATCCAATCACACTATCTCCCAGACTTTCTCAGTTTTCTGTAATAAAACATCTTCGTAAAAATCTCAAAGAGATCCCCACCATCTGAATGCAGTTTCGAATGCATCTGTGCAGCTGAGCTCCTGGCTGCAGCATCTGGCTCTATATGGTCTTCAGTTGTAATGGGATGAAGCTCTGATAACTGAGGTATTTCCTCATCTTCAGCTTTCACTGTAACAACAGCGAATGGGAACCAGTTGTCATCCATCTCTCCCTCCTCTTCCATCAGCTCTCCATCTTCTGTAAAGCAAAACCAGTCAAGTCTTTATGAAATCAATGCATGTTCATTGGTGACACCCGTGATATATCTTTTTTTTATCTAGGAATTTTTCAGGTATTAATCACAGGGAGGAGATTAAACTTTGTCCATTTAGACCAGCAAAAACCACATCCTGCCTTGCTATTATCAACAAACAAAAACAAACAAAAAAAACATCTTAAATAACTTAAATGATATTCTTAAAATCTCAGATTAACTGGGGAGGTTTTCAAAAACTGCTGGGTTTAAGCTAAATTTAAACAAAAGTGAGATTTACCCATTAAAATACTGTTCAAATACAATATCAAATATTTGAATGGATTCATTGATAAAGCGATGGGATGTGGAAAGTCTTAATATTTGGGAGAAATTGCAAAAATATGAACATTTGAAGACACAGAGATTGTACCTGTTATCTGGTATCTGTTTGGGGAAAATAGTGCTCACCATAATGGGAAGTATTTACAGCCTTAAGTATCTATTAAATTCAACAATATATGGAAGTAAAAAGACACTATATTAGACAAAGAAAAGGTTTGATGGTGGAGGATTGAAAGCTATTGAATTGTACAGATTTTATTTATTTTTTTTTTTAAGGGGATTTTAAAAAATCCTTAGAGCTATTTCTTTAAATAATCCATGCACAGGAAAAGATGTATTCCTTTAAAAAAAATAATAAAACCTCTGCTCTTCCTGGGCTTATGAAAAAATTACGATTCAACCCACAATGGGAATTTTTATCACTTTAGTTCTTTTGATACCCAATCTGACTTATACTTTATAAATATTTTCCCATGATCAAAGAGAATAAAAAACATATAAATATAACTCATCATTCATCCAAAAGTGGAAAAAAGTCCCTTTGAAAATGTTATTCACTTTTTTCCTCCTTTGTTTCGCTATTGATACGAATACTTGTTTATATTTTTTCCTTCTCCAAAAGTTACTTAAAACATTTCAAGAATGACATTAAAGATTGAAACTTGAAATTGTATTACGATGAATCCTATAAGTAATATTTTTCTTTCACAGATGTTGCTTAATAAAACATACACTGAAAAACGTAATGCAACCGCTTTTGGCATGTACTAAATCCTATTTAGTTACTTTAACACAATTGTTTTATGTTCTACCCCGCTAACATGAAACAATTGTGTTAAAGTAACTAAATAGGATTGAGTAAATGCCAAAAAAATGTTTGCATTATTTATTTCAGTGTAACCATCTATCCACACTTTTCTCAAGGAACTAAAGTTTATAGAGAAGCAACAAGATGTGGAATTATATCCTAAGTTGTCATCTGTTTTAATGCATTCTTTAGTTTCTATTCTTTTTACTGTTGTTTGCCTTTTATGTATAATTTAAGTTCTTATTTCCTTAATTTCTATATGACTAGAGGTGGCCTGGTTCTGTTGGAGGCTTCTTCCTGTTAAAAGGGAGTTTTTCCTCTCCACTGTCGCCACAAGCATGCAATCAACTGGTTTTCCTTAGATAGAAAACTTTGAATCAATTTGACTGTATGATGTGGTGATTTATAAAGTGCCTTTAGTTGACGTGTGCTGTGAATTGGCGCTAAATAAGTCAACTGAATTGATTTTTTTTTTTTTATTTGTGAAAATATTTGAATTTGATTCCATATTTTTGTCAATATGATGTATGTATGGGATTTGGTGTTATGTGGAGGAACTGTCTGTTGTTTTTAACGTATTTCTATCTATTCATAAGGTGAGGATGTGTGTTTATAGATTATATAATGAGCTATAACCTGACTAACAAATAACCCGTTAATTCAACGTTTATGCGCAGCAGCCATATTGAACCAGAGCAGTGACTTGATAGGACGCCCACTTAATCTGAATTATTGTTTGAAGCAAGGTTTTGTATGAATTATATAAACCGAATTATTTATATTAAGGTTGAACAACAGAACCCTATTTAAAACAATTCTTACCAGCTTTGTTGGTCTCTACTCCATCTGCATTTGTCCTCTAAAGGAAGACTTTTAAAGTTGGTGTGATGAACATCATCTGCTTCCTTAATAGTTTCTGCTCTTTCCAATATGTGAAAGGACGTATTTAAAACCAAAGTCCAGATTTTTATAATAATATCTAACATTTTTCCTGTCGATTTTCATTTAGAGCAGGCATCTACGCGGACACCAGCTTTACTAGTGTCTCTCTGCTACCACCTACTGGACATTGTTCAGTCCAGCAGCAGCTTGTATTCCTTTTATTTATTTTGAATGCTTGGCAGTTCTTTCTACAACTAGCACTGTAAAAGAGGTAAACATGCATAGAAACTAATCTAATGGCATAATTAAAACAATTTATGGTGACAATTATATTCCTGAACAGACTTTTTTGGGGGAGTATTAAAGAGATAGAATTACTGATATGAGAAAAAGTAGTTCTAGGACAATAAAATAAAAAATAAAATGAGCAAAGTGGTGATATATATTATGAGTCATGTTATGAGAATTAAATGGGAACATTTCCAGAATTGTCACAGTTTTCAGAACTATTTCAGTCCTGCAGTAATAGGGCCAGGTTAGATTATTTTAATTATTTGCATTCTTTACAAGAATAAAGTTAGAATAATGAAGCCAAAGGGATGCTAAAATAAACTTGTAATATTACAAAATAAAAATATTACAATGTCTTAATTGTATTCTGAGATTAAAGTCCCTCTGATACTGTTTAAGTGTCTGAGTCTATCAGCAGAATTGCCACATTCAACACGGAGGCTCTAATAAATTTGCAGCATAGGCAGACCACGTCCAACGAGGTGTCTACGTATATAATGTCTATATGCTGGTCTGCCATGCTGTTTGCCATAATAAGTACTGTAAAACCTGATGTTATGTAGTATGTAATTTTAGTTATCAATTGAACATGAAAATGAGATGTGTGTGTCGCTTGTTCTTCTCAGAAGCTGTGTCCAAAAGTCCGTCCTAACCCCAGGTAACGCCATTTTAGATGAGTGTTGAACGTCTAGGTGATGAAAAAGTAGTGGAATCTAAATTTCCCACAATTTTCCTTGAAAAGTAGTGATCATCTATTGTCACAGATATATCCCAGATTGCTTTGCGAGAAGAGCTCTTCTTGCAAAGCATCATGGGATTTGTTGTAGCAGCGACAAATAACAAGGATGGCCCTGGTAGCATGCGGGTAGGAAGAGTTACATGACAGAGTGAAAAGTATTGATCATCTGTCCCAAAGGTCAGGTAACTGAGTTCTCTATAAAGTCCGCTATATAGTCCCCACTCTATATAGTGATTGAGGGAATTAGGGGTTAGGGAGGGCATTCGGCAGAGATGGCAAAAGTACTCACTTTCCGTACTTGAGTGAAAGTACAGATACTTGTGTTAAAAAATACTCTGGTAAAAGTGGAAGTACTGATTAAACTTCTTTACTCAAGTAAAAGTAACAAAGTACAGGCTTGTAAATTTACTTTAAGTATAAAAGTAAAAGTAGAAACCACTTTTTTCATGCCGTTGCCTATATTTTAAATGGATGTCTGCCAATAGGACTAGATCTCCGTTGTGTTCATTTTCAATCATCTCGTCGTCCATGCTACTATGCTAACGCCACCGCCACCAAGCTGCAATGATTTGCCGCCAATGAATACCGCCGAATCTGTCGATTCATCTTGTAGTGGTGCGTCAAATGCAACGTAGATTCCATCCAATTAGATTGAATTTGGTATTGATGACGTGAAAAATAATAACGGTAACTCCATTGAAATGATTCAAAACTAAAGTAACGAGCCAATTTTTTAAAATGTAAGGAGTAGAAAGTACAGATATTTGTGTGAAAATGTAAGGAGTAGAAGTAAAAGGTTGCCATAAAAATAAGTAGTAAAGTAAAGTAAAAATATCAGAAAAATCTACTTGAGTACAGTAACGAAGTATTTGTACTTCATTACTTCCCATCTCTGGCATTCGGACACATCCTTAGTGAACATCACTCTCATTTACATTAATTACTTCAAAACTGACCCTTTCAGTTCACCATTTACTAAATATATTTACGTTTTCAGTGAACAGCATTCATTGAACGTGAAGAATGAGTGAGACATTGACTCACTGATCCATACCACCCGGATCTTCAGCACAGACATCGGGATGTCATTCGTACTAGAGAAGTGTGGTCGGATGGTAACTAAGAGAGGGAAGGTACTGTAGTCCACACAGAGGGGGTCTCACTCCCAGAAGGAACAATAGCAGACATTGAAGACAGCTATAAGTACCTTGGAATCCCACAAGCAAATGGCAACCTCGAAGAGGTAACAAGGAAAGCGTCTACGGCCAAATACCTCAAACGAGTAAGGCAGGTCCTAAGGAGCCAGCTCAATGGCAAGAATACGTCTTGGGCAATAAATAGCTACGCTCTACCAGTAATCAGATACCCTGCAGGAATAATAAGCTGACCAAGGGAGGAGTTACAGGCCACAGATGTTAAGACACGAAAGCTCCTAACCATGCACCAAGGGTACCACCCCAAATCCAGCACCCTGAGACTGTACGCCAGCCATAAGGAAGGAGTCTGGGAACTAATGAGCGTAAGAGCCACTATCCAGGATGAAACAAGGACAAGGCTCCAACAGATGACATCCTCACTGAATGAGCAACAGAAAATGAGATGCCAGAGACTCTGTCATGGGAGGATAAGCCCCTACACAGGATGTACCACCGGAACATAATCGAAGTGGCAGATATCAGGAAATCCTACCAATGACTAGACAAAGCCGGACTGAAGACAGCACAGAGGCTCTCATCATGGCTGCACAGGAGCAGGCCCTAAGCACCAGAGCAACAGAGGCCCAAATCTACCACACCCGACAAGATCCCAGGTGCAGACTGTGCAAAGAGGCCCCTGAGACAAACCAGCACATAACTACAGGGTGCAAGATGCTGGCAGGGAAAGCTTACATGGAGCACCATAACCGAGTGGCTGGAATAATATACAGGAACATCTGTGCAGAGTATAGGCTGGAAACCCCAAGATCCTGTGGGAGTTCCAGATACAGGCGGACCGAACGGTAATGGAAAACCAACCGGACATTGTGGTGGCAAAAAGCAGAGGAAATCTGTTGTGATTGACATAGCAATACCAAGTGACTGCAATATCAGGAAAAAAGAACATGAATGAACATGAAAAATTAGAGAAATACCAGGGGCTCAGAGAAGAGCTGGAGAAAACCAGCTGGAAGGTCAAGGCAACAGTGGTACCCAAGGTCATTGGTGCACTTGGGGCAGTGACCCCAAGCTTGAAGAGTGGTTACAGAAGATCCCTGGAAATACATCAGACATCTCGTCCAGAAGAGTGCAGTTCTGATGACAGCAAAGATACTGCACAGATCCCTCAAGCTCCCAGGCCTCTGAGGACCCAAGAGGACCCAAACCCAGAACCTTCTTGCTGCAAGGCAGCAGTGCTACCCACTGCACCACTGATCAGCCCTACTAATGGTGTTTTGTTCTTCAAAAAGATAATGAAACCAATGGAGATACAGAAAGATTCCCAAATATAAATACAAATTTGATTAGTTGTAAGCATACATCCAAGCATTATGTAGTGCATGTGATGGTAGGCTTGTTTTGAAGAAAGAAGAAAAACTGGTTTGTGTGATAGTGTAAGTCCTCCAAAAATGTTTGCAGTCAAGAAAATACTAAAAGCTCTTAATGTGTGAAAAGTGTAAAACATTGCAATTTTAACCCACCATTGATTCAGTAAAAAAGATCAGAAGATACCTTCATTAGGTCTTTCTAGGTGGTTCTAGAAATATACAGAAGCCCCCACAGATGCTACTTTACTAACTTAAGTACAAACCTTGATGGTGTAGAGAAAATTAGAAAACATTCAATAAAATTCTGTAATCTCCCTCTGGGATTATTAAAGTATTTCTGATTCTGAATAGCCCAGCAGATTTTTACAGAGAAATTTACTTTATAGTTTAGGGTTTACTTTATGATACGTCAGAATATAGTTTTACATTGAGTTCTTCAGGTGATTTAAATAATTTTACACCAGTGCCACTATGCAATAGAAATTTTTATTTTCAAAGTCTAAACATAGAAACTGGTGCCATTATAAATGCGACAACAACCTACTTTAAGAAGTGCATTAACCGCTTAAGCTTTGCAAACAGATCGCTCTTGTGTCTTTGTTGCATGAAAATATAATTGAGGTTAGCTAGCACTCAAAATGGGCTCAACTGTTTGTTCCCTTTCTGAAACCCTAATGAATTTCACATGTGAAAATCAAATTTGTACATCATGTGTACATGTGAATTACATTTAAAAGCACATGCATACGTGTGGCATTGGAATGTGACTCAAGTTTTTACATACAAGTCACCTGTTTTCGCAAGTTAAAACCATTTCAACATGACAGACACTTGACTTAAATGTGATTCCCTTGTTTTTATATGTGATACACATGGGCCTGAAATTGTTTTCTAAGTGTTTAAATAGACATGCACACATTTTTAGACATTGTAAATATTGGAAATATTCATAATGGCCGATAGCTTCAGTCAGCACTGCTACACATGCAAGCAGTTGTTTTTGTTTTTTTTACAATTAATGCTTAAATAAAAATGACAGATAAATACTTGTCTGAGATGTATGTTAAAATATACCTGCTTCTCATTTCTTTTTTTAAAGCTCTCTACCCTATGAGGAGGCAATATTAAAAACAGAACATATTATATCATAACAAGGTTTCCAGTCTGTACCGGCCTACTTTCCCCCTGTTTATATATCACAATTTAGGTAAAATATAAATAGCCTAAATAAACATACTGAGGACGTGACCTCGGTGTCCTCAATGGTAGTTACAGCCCTTAATAAAGACTGTTTAATTCTTTTAAGACTCACAATTATTTTGATACGAAATAGAAAAATATACAGAGAAAAAAATACGGTGAAAAGAAAACAAATACAACAAGGGGAATACATACATTTAGAGGCAAGATTGCAGCATATACAATTACACAAATACATTTTAGAGAGTACATTAGTTAATAAATATGTTCTGAAGACACCCCATTCAGAAGTGAGAGAATAGTTTTCTGAAATAATTAAAATAAATAACGATTGCTATTGCATAATGAAAAGACACAAATATGATCAATTTCTAGTTTTTGAGGTAATA